TGGGTCTGGCTTGACAGTGGGATTGTAGTAATGACTGTCGTCGATGGTACGGCTGAGACTCTAAGGACCGAACCACTAATCGCCACATAACCACCTAGAGGGGCCATGCCAAACATAGGTGAGAATGAAGGCCCTACCGGCGATGGCGTCACTGATGGACCCGCAACCGAAGGGGGAGTTACAGCAACCTGAGACTGCCTCATCATTGGACGAGGAGCCTGTAATGCAGCCAAAATTCGTTTTTGGCGTGCCACTAGTTCAGCCAACACTTCCTGCTGAACAACCTGGGTCTCCGCCACACACCGGAGCGAATTCCGCAGTGCTTGCATAGCGGGATCTAATGTGGACTCGTCTAGTGCTTCCAGCTTGCCTAGTTCCTGCAATCTATTACCTAGTCTAGCTTTTCTCATTATTGCCCTTCTTCTTCTCTCTGCTGCTTCATCCAACTGTCGTTGCAACTCATCCTGAAGTTCTTCAGCTTGGAGGATCTCATAATCCTCCGGTGTGAGTTGAGTCTGTTGGCTGACTTGCAAGCCAGGGCTCTGGCTAATGGAAGCCCGAGAACCACTTTGACTGACTCCTGACGAAGTGGCATGTGAAGAGGCCTGCGACATGGTAGAGGAAGTAGCCATGGTCGTACTGGTGCTAGCTATAATCCTAGACCTGGCACTGGCCTCAACCACCCTCGCTCTTCTTGTCGCTGTTCTCTCTCTAGCCTCTCTCCGCAGTCTCCTCTCGTCTCCTAGACCTAACTCTAGGAAAGTCAAAGGTCGACTGAGAGCAGTTCTACGAGTAGTCCTACGGTCGTCCACTAACAACTCCTCCTCACTAGTGCTTGCATCACTCATGAGCTAAAGTGTGTATGATCTAAACTAGAATCCACACTGAATCCTACCTCAGCATGACACACAACCGATTATGATACACAACTAACTTAGGTATGCCTGGACAGAAACAGTTAGGTGGTTGGGTGTCACCCAGTGTCAGATCCTACAGGGAATATTAAATTTATTTTTAGATTACTCTAACACAGATTACAATGCAGCAAAGAATATACTCCTCTATCTGCAGCTGTCTGTCAGTTGTTAGTCAAGTCCGTAACAACTAAATAATCAAAAATAAAAATAATGCTCCCTACAGAGATGTATGCTGGATGGTAGTTTATCTAATTAATGCCACCACGAACAGTTACCGGAATCCAACCCTTTCCCTGTATCCCTCTTGAGTAGTCACTTTGTGTCGATGTTCCTAGGCACCTAGTTGAGCAGCGTGTCTAAAGGTGTGCAATCCGGCCCCACCCCTGTGCCCCAAGTCAAGGCCGACCCTGCCAGCCCCTGCACATTATTTATCCTCGCATGCAACGAGCCTTACACCCGGTCTGATCTGGCTGATCAGGAGGCATTTAAGGAGATCCACCATAACTCCTCAGGAATTATTTAACGTCGCAGACAGGACGACGATCACAGCCAGAATCAACACCGAGTCCCCGCCACAAATATTTAGAGACGGTCTGGTAAGCGTTTGTTCGAAGGGCTGAAATGCCCTGCATGGCCTCTATTGCGCAGCAGCAGAACCAAGGACTTGCGGCAAAGCATGCGTGTACGAGTCCCGGCGGGTTGGCATGGTGATAGTGACCCGAGTGCTTCGTCCAGGGCCCTTCAGAGGCAACGCCCGTCTCCCACCAGCTTGCTGCCCAGGGAGAATGTCGACTCTCAAGGTTGAGCACTCGCAACACCTCACATTGAGAGGACTCTAAAGACAAGACTCACTTCCTCACGGTAAGAAGCAATGAAGAGGGTAGATAAGGAAGGAAGCAACGTACCTCATAATGCTGCCCCCCACCACTGATTTCTCACCAGCAACCTGATGTGCATTTATGATGACCGGTCTTTGCCTCGGCACAACCAACAGCAGAATGAGTTCCACCTCGGCTTAAATGCCACATCAGCGAGCTCTCATCATCCAGCGTACAGCCCTATTGTCACCACATAGCTTCCTGGCGCGCCCACACCACCCTGGGCCGCCTACCGTTCAACGCCCATGCCTTATCACTGCCCCACACCTCATGCGAAGCACCGAACAGCTATTGCGAAGAACCAATGAGCACATTTCGAACCAGTTCCGATACCAAATTGCAAGGAAAATGCACAGAAACGAGATGACAATATTCAGATTGCACAATCACATTGAAAGCAGGGCTGGTCCCCAGATGAACCGGGGACCCCTACCCCATCCGCGGTCCTCCCGGTTGGACTGGCCGGTGGCCCGGGCAAGTTCCCTCCCGGTTGCCTCCAGCGCATTTTTGCTGGGGGCTGAAATTTTTTTTTTGCCGGCGTGTATGTGTTCCCAAGGCCTCATGGCGGCGGGCCCTGCCCCGCAATTTCGAAACCGGGTCCTGTAGGCCCGGATTTTTCAAGTCCAGAAAGTGGCCAATCTTGGCCGCCGATCGTTGCAGATCAGCGGCAAAGATCGGCCAGGACCCCATTTCAGGCAGAGGATATCCGCCGCTTGCCTGTGCAGATCAGCGGCGGAGAACAGCCACGCATTTTTCCTAAGATGTGGGTCGGGTAGGCCACTTCTCCAATTTGTCATCTTGTGGTCCAGGACCAGTTACCATTGGCAACATCTGATGCTCTTTCACCCTCAGGCACGAGGTGAACACTATGCTTCTGAAGAGTCTTTGCTGAGATTATATCCTTCTGCGTCGTCCCTGCCATCTGTGGAAAAAGTTATGGGTTCGGATTTTCGAATCGTGATTTCAGAGCCGTCCGAGGTGCAATCCCAAGAATGGACCTAGGCTATATTCTTCTCTCTATCTATCTCGAATGGACCTTGCTCCACTGCATGTATCTGGACAGACTGCCAGGCAAGATACTTACGGACTGACAACGCTCTGCCTCCACGAGCTGAAAGCTGGAACCATAACTTTTCTGCTGTCGAAATATACTCTGGAAGGGCTATAATTTCGGGCAAGGACCTCCTCTCATCATATCTGGTTCAGCTCGTGGGGTATCAATATCAAATGACATACTCCACGAAGTGCTCCAGCCACGGGGGGGTCGGATAAGTGAATTTGTTTACTTGACCGCTCCCCGAGGAAGCCATAGTTGCCTGAATATGTCAATAATAACCCCCTGCCCCCCTCTGGAAGCCCCCTGAAAAATGCTGTACCTTGAAAATTTTATTGCAGATTCGGACAGCTCTTGAAGAGCGCAGTCGGAATCTGCCCAAAAAAAAAAAAAAAAAAAAAAAAAAAAGATATTTGGGCACTTTTTTTTTTCAAAACCAGTTTCCCGGTTCATCCCCCCTGGGCTGGTCCAGCTCCGGTTGGACAAGGGTAGCTCAACCGGCCGGTTGCCGGCCCAGCACTGATTGAAAGCCAAATCGTATCACAGTGTTCAGAAAGCAGCATTGCACCAATATAACACCAATGGAGAATCGTAGCACTGAAAATCAATGTCAATGAGAGCTTGCTCTCGCCACCACCAACATATGTATCCAGTCTCTATCTCCCTACTTGGCGCTCAGCGCCCAGCCTACTCCCTACACAGCTACAACTAGCCTACTAATTCACAATGCAACTGTTGAGGTCAGCAGCCTCCGAAGTACTTAAAGATGTCGCCCATGCAGACCATCGCCAATACCAGGTATGTGCCCTCACATCATCATCATCATCATCATCATCATCATCATCCTTCTCTCTGTCTCTCCCTTGTCTCTCTCCCACGTCTTCCCTTTGTACACCTGAAGACCAACCCTGCGCCTCACTGTACATCCAAGCCCACCAGCTATGGAGGCTGGGCTATGGCGCTGCCCTCAGCAGCACCCTGCTCTCTGCACGACCGCACGTGCTTGCACCTCGCCGCTCAGCGCTAGCAGCAGGTCACGAGCTTCAGCTCCAGCAGCGCTGCCACCAGCATGCGAGTGCCCGAATGAGCCGCCAGCCAGCGAGCTCTTTCCTATATGGAAAAGAGCTGGCCTGGCTTCGCAGCCTGGCTGCCCTGAGCCTGGGCCCAGAAGCTTCCGGTAGGCCCCAAGGTGCTGCGCCTTTGGTGCAGCTACCGGGCCTCATTCGGTTGGGCCTCCCAACTGTCTGTGTATGACGCTGCAAACCTCGCCCAGGGCCTGTGCTTTTGGAAAGGCCTAGAAGGCCTGGGATTTTCCATGCTGCTCAGCCTGTGTTTTCCTTCAACCAACTGGCGCGACGAAACTGCGTGGACCCCAAATACGAAATTGACAGCCAAGGGCCTCTCGTGATTTGTTAGGCCCGCCTTCACTTAGGGCAGGCACATTTGTGGCAGGGGCCCCTAAGGCCCGCCGAGGACCCACATCTTTGCAAAAAGCATTAAAAACCTAGGGAGATATCCCGGGGGCCCGGGTCCTGATGTCACACCCGGTTTGGCGACCGGGTGACCGGCTGGGCATGACCCCCGGGCATGGGCCCAGGCAGCCCCAGCACAAAAAAAAAAAAAAAAAAAAAATCTGAAAAAAAAATGTTGTGTAGAATTGGAATACAAAGTAACAAACAACTTTTGGCTGAGGGTCACAGAAGAATTCCTCACGGAACTCGAGATAAAAGAAAAGAAAACAAATCACACTAGGCACCCACCTTTAAACCCCTTTAGCCCCTTTAAAATTCATTTATACTCCCCTACCCACCCCTTGACAGCCAACTCTCAGAAAAAGAAAAGAGCCCAGATTCGGGCTCCTCTCGGAAAGTGAGGAAAAAACCCACTGCAATTATTTTTTATTCTATTTTATCCCATGCAGGGTATCTCGGGCGTCACGCTCGGGTGACCGGCCGGTCATGAAAATCTTCCTAGTTCAAAAACCCATAAACAGGTTGACAAAGACACTACCACTGCACCACTCTTCCATCTAAGATACTTTTACAGTCTTTGACTTCATTGAATTAGCAAAAACATATCTGAAACAGATCAACAGAGTACTACTATGGTAGAGTATGACTCTTTGATCCAATCCATCATGAACCCACCCACCTCTGGATGAATTCTGAAGTAATGAATTGAGCCGCTAACAATCTGCAAAGGCTTCCCATCCAGGAAAAATGTGTCCTCTCCCAGCCGAAACCTCCGCACAGCTCCCACATGAGTCCTCTTTTCATTTATGAACTTTCGTCCACAATTACAGAAACAACACAGACATTATCAAAACACCCACAAGAGAGCGACTTAGTTCAGTCAACATAAAACTTCATAAACAAGATGTGAAATCAGTGCAAATAAACTCCTATCAAGTAAAATAAACCAACCAAAGTGAGGGTACTCATGAGTCATGTCCACACAATTTGACACAAAGGCAATCAATTCAGCTATAGCGGAAAACCTTCGGTTATGCAATAGCATGCATGAAAACTTCTACAGTCATCTATTTAAAATTTAAATCATAAGTTCCCTGTTCTTCCTTCTTGATTTTTAAATGTTTCACATCTACGAGCATTCACTGTATTGCACAGTCCAGAGTGACCTCCGCATACATATTGTGAAATTGTTCTTTTTCCCAAAAATTGGACCATTCGCAGGGCTGGTTGCCAACCACCCGGCAGCACCAGCGGTTAACGGGTAGCTGAAAATTCAGGAATGAAAATTTTGAAGTGAAGAGTTTTGGGCAGTCTGAAAATCCCGAATGGACCTGAAGTGGTGAAAGGTTCGAAGACCCTGAAAACTACCTGTTTAGGCAGGCTGCATCCTGAAGTGGTGAAGTGAGAGTTTTGGGCAGTCTGAAAATCCTGAATGGTCTTGAAGTGGTGAAAGGTCGGAAGACCCTGGAAACCACCTGTTTAGGCAGGCTGCATCCTGAAGTGGTGAAGGGTGTCCTGAAGTGGTGAAAGGTCCGAAGACCCTGAAAACCACCTGTTTAGGCAGGTTGCATCCTGAAGTGGTGAAGGGTGTCTTGAAGTGGTGATGAAAAATACGACTGTTGTTAACCTTCTCTCCTTGGCAGGCCCTCCCACGCCCAGATCTGTTCTGGAAGAACCCAGATCTGTTCTGGACGAACCAGCAGGTCGTACTCCAGGTAGTCCTAGTGCATTTCGTACTCCAGCAGTGAGACTATTCCAACATTGTCAATTATGAGTTTTTGGTGTACTCTTATTTGGTGAAACTCGTTATGCAATTATGCTTTTGGTTCGAGTTCACGACTATCTGGTCTTATGTGTATGATGTTGTTTGATTGCTGAAGTTCGATATTGCTCATCTTCCTTGCAAAAAGATGGCGGTGTCAAAAACTTGCTCGCCCACTCAATAATTTCATTCTCGTTTTATTTTTTCTAATTTTCCATGGCTACGCCGGATCCGGACATTTCTGGACATGGAACTGGACCCGTGTCCGGTAGTTTCCGGACGTCCGGAATTCCGGACATTTCCGGACCTCCAGACATGGGGGGATCCGGACGGTCCGGATGTCTGGACAGGTCCGGAAATGTCCGGACCATTAAAAAAAAAAAAAATCTGAAAAAAAAAAATGTTATGCAGAAAAACAATGTAGACCACTTTTGCCTCAGAGTCATGTCAGAATTCCTAACCAAACTTGAGTTAAAAAAGTCAAAAACTATAAAAAGCTTAAAAAAAGACTTTAAAAAGTGAAAAACACTAATAAAAGGTAATGAGTTATTCATAATATAAAACTTGGGGTTGTCTAATAAATTATTATAGAGAGAGAGCATGTCCGGACCCCCCAAAAAAGCATAAACGGGCCTGAAAAACCCTCAAAACAATTTTGGGGGCTTGACTCCTCAATGGGGAAGGGTCCTGGGCTGTTTTTTTTTTTTTTTTTTTTCTCGACATTTGGCAGATCCGGACCGTCTGGACCGGACGTCCGGATTCCGGACCAAATCCGGGCGTCTGGACGGCGGTCCGGACGTCCGGATCGTAGCCATGTAATTTTCATTAGTATTATTCATTTTTAGTATTTGATTTTTATTTCAAATTTGGTAAAGAATTTTGATGTAACGTTGAGGCAAATGTTGTTTAGTTTATTTTTATGCATAACATATATGTTTTTTCAGAGTTTTTGGAGTTCTCTTTTTTTTTTTTTTTTTTTTTCCCTTTGGGTCCGCGTTTGGCCGAACGACCGAACGCGTCGAGAGAGGGTGCCGAACGTTCGGGGGTTCAACCCATCCCAAACGTCGGCAACATTGTATGGGGTTGTAGGGTTTTGAAAGCCCTACAGCCCCATTTTTCTAGGCTGTTTTCCCGGGCGCCCGGACACTAACTTCTGCCCGGGTACACGCCCGGGTGCCAGGCCGGGCATGACCCCTGGGCAGGGTTTCGGGCAGCCCCCGCGACAAAAAAAAAAACAAAAAACTCAAAAAATTCCAGAAAAAAAAAAATGTTGTGTAGGATTGAAATGCAAACCACGTTTAGCTGAGGGTCACATTATAATTCCTCACCGAATCGGAGATAAAAAAGAAAATAACAGAATCACACAAAGGAACACACTTTTAACTCCTCTTAGCTCCTTTAAAAATAATTTATACCC